GTGTATATTTATGTTATATCACAGTGTATATGTTATATCAGTGTATATTTATGTTATATCACAGTGTATGTTTATGTTATATCACAGTGTATATTTATGTTATATCACAGTGTATATTTATGTTATATCACAGTGTATATTTATGTTATATCAGTGTATATTTATGTTATATCACAGTGTATATTTATATCACAGTGTATATTTATGTTATATCACAGTGTATATTTATGTTATATCACAGTGTATATTTATGTTATATCACAGTGTATATTTATGTTATATCATCAGTGTATATTTATGTTATATCACAGTGTATATTTATGTTATATCACAGTGTATATTTATGTTATATCACAGTGTATATTTATGTTATATCACAGTGTATATTTATGTTATATCATGTATATTTATGTTATATCACAGTGTATATTTATGTTATATCACAGTGTATATTTATGTTATATCACAGTGTATATTTATGTTATATCACAGTGTATATTTATGTTATATCACAGTGTATATTTATGTTATATCACAGTGTATATTTATGTTATATCACACAGTGTATATTTATGTTATATCACAGTGTATATTTATGTTATATCACAGTGTATATTTATGTTATATCACAGTGTATATTTATGTTATATCACAGTGTATATTTATTATATCACAGTGTATTTTATGTTATATCACAGTGTATGTTTATGTTATATCACAGTGTATATTTATGTTATATCACAGTGTATATCATTATATTTATGTTATATCACAGTGTATATTTATGTTATATCACAGTGTATATTTATGTTATATCACAGTGTATATTTATGTTATATCACAGTGTATATTTATGTTATATCACAGTGTATATTTATGTTATATCACAGTGTATATTTATGTTATATTATATTTATGTTATATCACAGTGTATATTTATGTTATATCACAGTGTATATTTATGTTATATCACAGTGTATATTTATGTTATATCACAGTGTATATTTATGTTATATCACAGTGTATATTTATGTTATATCACAGTGTATATTTATGTTATATCACAGTGTATATTTATGTTTATATATCACAGTGTATGTTTATGTTATATCACAGTGTATATTTATGTTATATCACAGTGTATATTTATGTTATATCACAGTGTATATTTATGTTATATCACAGTGTATATTTATGTTATATCACAGTGTATATTTATGTTATATCACAGTGTATATTTATGTTATATCACAGTGTATATTTATGTTATATCACAGTGTATATTTATGTTATATCACAGTGTATATTTATGTTATATGTATGTTTATGTTATATCACAGTGTATATTTATGTTATATCACAGTGTATATTTATGTTATATCACAGTGTATGTTTATGTTATATCACAGTGTATGTTTATGTTATATCACAGTGTATTTTATGTTATATCACAGTGTATATTTATGTTATATCAGTGTATATTTATGTTATATCACAGTGTATATTTATGTTATATCACAGTGTATATTTATGTTATATCACAGTGTATATTTATTTATCATATCAGTGTATATTTATGTTATATCACAGTGTATATATCACAGTTATATTTATGTTATATCACAGTGTATATTTATATCACAGTATATCACAGTGTATATTTATGTTATATCACAGTGTATATTTATGTTATATCACAGTATATTTATGTATATTTATATGTTATATCACAGTGTATATTTATGTTATATCACAGTGTATATTTATGTTATATCACAGTGTATATTTATGTTATATCACAGTGTATATTTATGTTATATCACAGTGTATATTTATGTTATATCACAGTTATATTTATGTTATATCACAGTGTATATTTATGTTATATCACAGTGTATATTTATGTTATATCACAGTGTATGTTTATGTTATATCACAGTGTATATTTATGTTATATCACAGTGTATATTTATGTTATATCAGTGTATATTTATGTTATATCACAGTGTATATTTATGTTATATCACAGTGTATATTTATGTTATATCACAGTATATTTATGTATATTATATGTTATATCACAGTGTATATTTATGTTATATCACAGTGTATATTTATGTTATATCACAGTGTATATTTATGTTATATCACAGTGTATATTTATGTTATATCACAGTGTATATTTATGTTATATCACAGTGTATGTTTATGTTATATCACAGTGTATATTTCTGTTATATCACAGTGTATGTTTATGTTATATCACAGTGTATATTTATGTTATATCACAGTGTATATTTATGTTATATCACAGTGTATATTTATGTTATATCACAGTGTATATTTATGTTATATCACAGTGTATGTTTATGTTATATCACAGTGTATATTTATGTTATATCACAGTGTATGTTTATGTTATATCACAGTGTATATTTATGTTATATCACAGTGTATATTTATGTTATATCACAGTGTATATTTATGTTATATCACAGTGTATATTTATGTTATATCAGTTATTTATGTTATATCACAGTGTATATTTATGTTATATCACAGTGTATATTTATGTTATATCAGTGTATATTTATGTTATATCAGTGTATATTTATCTTTTATCAAAGTGTATGTTTATGTTATATCAGTGTATATTGATGTTATATCAGAGTGTATATTTATGTTATATCACAGTGTATGTTTATGTTATATCACAGTGTATGTTTATGTTATATCAGTGTATATTTATGTTATATCATGTATATTTATGTTATATCACAGTGTATATTTATGTTATATCACAGTGTATGTTTATGTTATATCACAGTGTATATTTCTGTTATATCACAGTGTATGTTTATGTTATATCAGTGTATGTTTATGTTATATTACAGTGTATGTTTATGTTATATCACAGTGTATATTTATGTTATATCACAGTGTATATTTATGTTATATCACAGTGTATATTTATGTTATATCACAGTGTATATTTATGTTATATCAGTGTATATTTATGTTATATCACAGTGTATATTTATGTTATATCATGTATATTATATCATGTTATATCAGTGTATATTTATGTTATATCACAGTGTATATTTATGTTATATGAGTGTATATTTATGTTATATCACAGTGTATATTTATGTTATATCAGTGTATGTTTATGTTACATCACAGTGTATATTTATGTTACATCACAGTGTATGTTTATGTTACATCACAGTGTATATTTATGTTATATCACAGTGTATATTTATGTTATATCATGTATATTTATGTTATATCACAGTATATGTTACATCACAGTGTATATTTATGTTATATCACAGTGTATATTTATGTTATATCACAGTGTATATTTATGTTATATCAGTGTATGTTTATGTTATATCACAGTGTTATCATGTATGTTTATGTTACACAGTGTATATTTATGTTATATCACAGTGTATATTTATGTTATATCACAGTGTATATTTATGTTATATCACAGTGTATGTTTATGTTATATCACAGTGTATATTTATGTTATATCACAGTGTATGTTTATGTTACATCACAGTGTATATGTATGTTATATCACAGTGTATATTTATGTTATATCAGTGTATGTTTATATCACAGTGTATGTTTATGTTATATCACAGTGTATATTTATGTTATATCACAGTGTATATTTATGTTATATCAGTGTATATTTATGTTATATCACAGTGTATATTTATGTTATATCACATTGTATATTTATGTATATCAGTCTATATTTATGTTATATCACATTGTATATTTATGTTATATCACAGTGTATATTTCTGTTATATCACAGTGTATATTTCTGTTATATCACAGTGTATATTTATGTTACATCACAGTCTATGTTTATGTTACATCACAGTGTATATTTATGTTATCTCAGTGTATATTTATGTTATATCACATTGTATATTTATGTTATATCACAGTGTATATTTATGTTATATCACAGTGTATATTTATGTTATATCACAGTGTATATTTATGTTATATCACAGTGTATATTTATGTTATATCACAGTGTATATTTATGTTATATCACAGTGTATGTTTATGTTATATCACAGTGTATGTTTATGTTATATCAGTGTATATTTATGTTATATCACAGTGTATATTTATGTTATATCACAGTGTATATTTATGTTATATCGCCGTGTAGGTTTGTTGTGTCGCGGTGTATATTTATGTTACACCTTTCATTATCATTATTATTTAACAAGAGGATATGTGACTCTAAATCTCTCACTGAATGTGCAATGCCGTGTAAGGGGTTAGTCAACCTCTCGTAACAACATTAGAGGGCATTCTGTGAACACAACCTACATCAAAGGAGGGTAAAAACTCATTATTATGCAACACTTATAAAGAGCATTAAAACCCATCCTGTATTATTTATAAGATATCAAGGCATGATTGCGTTTACGTTTCCTTTATAACATTTATTCTGTTGGGGTGTATTAGGAATGTTGTTGGTATAATATTGCGCTGACCATCTTCACCCCGAACCTATTATGTAACCAGTTAGCTTGCTCCAAAATTTCATTATTTACATGTGAATGTATGAAGCACTGTTTTGGTTTTGTATCCATTACGAGTAGGTTCTCAAATTTTCCTTTACATCTCGTATTATGTAATGCTAAACTTCATTATACATTAAAAAGTCTACACTCAAGACACGAGTGAATAGCAGTGTTTTTTATACTTAAAATTCAGAACCAAATTATGAATTCGCATCACAGCCGGTTTGTCATTTTAAGCCTTGTAAAGTGATGTTGGAGCGTGAAGTGTTGAAATGTTAATGGCTATTTAGGAAGATTGGCCGAAATATATGTTATAGATAGACAGATAGGAAGAGCGCTGGTAAAGTAAGGAAGGACGCTAATATGTCTTCCTCCTGTATTCTAGTGTTTAGGGCTGGTGTGTTGTGCTGAAGAAAATAAAAAAAAAAACCATGGTTAGCACTATTTAAGGAGACATTTATTAGTCTTCAGTTGTAAACATCTTCAAGTACACAACGAAACAATGACAAAACATGATAACATTCTTTTAATATTTCTGTAACATTGAAAAATATATAGAGTACGACTATGGTACGAGATGGGGATGATTTATGGAGAAAAATATAACTTCATTCAGTTGAAATGTTTCACGATTCATGAAGAATGAATAATGGTGATGAAAAAACTAACAAATCCTGACATCTTCCGACATCGTTCATTCTATAACAATACCAATGGCGGTGGATTGATGTGTGTATGGAGTTTCATACCCGTCATCTATTGGTCAAGCGTTCTATGTTATGTGACGTCACGCAATTTGGTCAGTGTGCTTTGAAAGCTAAACTGGTAGCTGCCGTAGTTTTTCTACATTTATTCTCCGTATATCGAGATACAAATGCTAAATTATCATGTAGAGAAAGCGTCAATGAAAGACAAAAAGGCACTTATAGCCAAGATCGGGTTAACCTCGATTCTGTTTCCGGAAACAGTTGGCGTGTTTGATTTGTAGCCTCGAGGTTTCTGGTAAAAACCAGTGTGTAATTGGCACAATGTTAAACGTCTCTTGGTGAGTCCGCTTTCGCGAGTCGCCTCGACACGTCGGGTCGTTTCTAATTAATATCAATTCTATTTTGTGTCATTCTCCCAACGAGGCATAGGATCAACTCACGGGAACTACACAGGGCGAGGTGTTAGCACCCGGCAGACGCCCTGAGATACATATTGGATGGGATCTGTGATACAGGTGTATATCACGTCTCCGCCACCAGCTGTGTGTTTGTAGAGTCTTTAAGAGTTGAACACGATGAGAACCCCGTCGTATTTTCTACACCGGTTAAAGTTTTCTCAAAGTCAAGCAATTGTCCCATAAAGTTAAAGTTGGGAGATATGTTCGGTTTGCACCCTTTGACGTGATCGTAAGCTTCATTCAGGCTCATATGCTGTTTCTGCATTAAATAGGCCACCGTCACAGTCACTGACCGGCTGATTCCCGCCAAACAATGCACCAATACGCCGTTCTTCTGTTCACGGGCCTCGTCTATAAAGATAAAATAATTTCAACACTGTAAATACACATCCAACAGTTAATTTCAATTACAATTCAGATAATATAAATTTTAAAAAAAGCTGTATGATGCTGCTGAAAATTATGTAAAAAAGATACTATTCACTTGTCTGTTATACAATCATATAAAAATCACTGGCCAGATTACATTTTAAAACGTGTATATGTGTTGTGTATATATTTCAATACATTAACTATTGACAAGAGTACCGGTACACATCCCGATTGACCCCTAGAGATGGTTGGATGTTAGCGGATGTAAACACTGGAGAGGTATGCGTGTGTTAAAGACACACCGGAAACGTCGGGCGAGGTTAGACGTGGCGTCTACAGCAGAATGGTTTGCAGCGTTCTATTTCAGAGCAATTACAAGTCGCGCGGTATGCTGGTATGCCTCCACTCGGCGGATGTCAGCTTACGTTACACATATCTAGGCCACGTTTCCTGTAGTCGTTTATTCACTATTGATTAGTGTAGCGGATGTTATCTGCCCGCTATCTCTCCCTAAACCAATTAAGTTTGATAACTAGGACGGACTTTCAAAACAGTGGAAGCACACGTATATCATAAATTTCCATCCGGTGCCAATACTGGTATCAAGCACCTACCACTGTTTTCTATCTTCTTCAAATGGTAAATAATAAAACGTACACCCGATCAATTAGAAATGAAATTAAAACATGCTTAATGTAATTAAAATGAAAGAAGGAATTCGTTTTCTCCTGAAACCAGAACATACCCACAGTAGGTCATGAAAGCCAGGTTTGTTAAACATCAATATTGTTCCTCGCCACGAGACTTTTCCCACTTATCTAACACTACAAAGTTTGGTTGCGAGCCAGCCCACGGCTAACGGAGGTACAATATATACAAACCCCAGGCCCCCTCCCTTCCCAACTGACGGGAATTGTGTGAGGCAGCGGAGGGTAATGATACACACGGTATTGCAGAAATCTTGGCAGAGTCGTTAGCTATCCTTGGTGGTGGTTCTTTTTATGAAATGAGGGAAGTGTTTGTGACCTAAATTTAGCAGCTACATCGCCCATCATTTTCTAGAAACGCTAAGGGGCTACACCACGTTCACGTGCACATGCAGTGCTCGTGGTGGTAGTAGCATGTGCTGTGTTTGTGTCGTTGCCACGACAGCTCAACGGTATATATAATATGAGCGCGCTAACATCACCAGTTCTCTTAGTGGCTGTATAGCATCGTTATATTCTCCTATGCTCGTTAAATAAGACTAATGAATTTCCTCTCTCTCATTTTTTAAAAAATAAAACATGTAAAGTTAAAAATCTTGTCTAGTATTTAATTTTCGTGACGTATGAAGTATCAAAACTTTTCATGTGGTTGTCGATGTTCTGGAATCCGTGAAGCGGAGCAGGATATCCATCTCCCTTGACAGGTAAGTCTGTGCCGCGGGCACCTTGAAACCCACACCAATACACAGTCGTTGGTATACCTGATAGCCAGGTATGAATTTGAACCCGTGTAGGCGATAGGCGACGCGTAACAGCGTTGTCTGACAAGGTCTATATTTTTTGCCCTATTTTCATATCATATTAAGTAGAGGCTTGGTGCGGGATTCTATCTTTAGTGAGGTCATTTTGCCATACACGAAATACGAGTATTTCTGTCTCAAACTGCACTAGTGATGTAACTTGTATAGAAATTGTTTTGTGAACGGTGCATAAAATGTTTAGCAAAACAGCGATTTAAAAAAGCCACATGTTAGTTAAAGTTGGGCTGGCGTTCCGCTCGTGTTCCACTTTCTGTCGTTAACCTCGGTTCAGATGCCGACACAGTACCTATTTACCCCTGAGAGTACTCTAAACACTTACCAATGAATGCTATGGCTTTTGGGAAAAAGGCAGATAAATTCTGGGAGAGCTGATCTGCTACTGGAATCTGCATATATTTAAAGTCGTTGTCTTCTTCGAACTTATTTGGGACATTTGGGGTAACGTTGAGAATATATTTGATTCCGTGTTTCTTTAGCTGTCCGATGTCAGCCGATGTTCTGGCATTGCCAAGATAGAGGTACTTGAGTACTTCCACTGGGAATGGAGACATAGCTGTGGGAGAGTTCACATTATCACAGTCAGAATCCGACGTACCATTACCAGAATCGTCAGAAATTTTTAAATTGCACAGTCCAAAAATAGTCTCTTCCACATTTTCTTGACCAACACAAAGCTCCCGGTGTCTGTTCTCAAAAGACGGAAAACCACCTGAAAAAAGAGACGGAAAAAAATATTATTCAGTTAATTCAAATGGAATATTTACGGAAGAAAAACCATTCTGATATATGTCAAGGCTAGTATATGTGTACAGGTTTATCAGGAATACCGATATCACTGGCAGGTCTTATCTAAGCTTGCCCCTTAAAATCGTGTGGCCTCTTAAATTGTTTATCGTGGCGGTTTCCGGCCTAGTCCATGTTACCCTCTCCCCTCACTGGTTTATATACCTGGTGTATTGACTCTACCCCCTCTCAATGTTTACTCATTTACTTTTATCAACAAGGCTCAATCCATTTCCTGTCCATTGTATTTCAGTGCTCTTTCACAATAACACCGGTCGAATGCCTGCATACATTACCCATAGTTATAGTGAATGGGATGTGTTTTCGACTGTGTAACCCGTATATAACCTCTAGGTTAGCGACATCACTGGACCTTAGCCAGGTCGTAACATTTACATTACAATAAATATTAACTTGATTACAAACTACCACAACTACATAAACCTCCAGCACGTAGACCGTACAAATAAAAAGGTTATGTAAAAAAATAATAATGTCGAGTTTATATATATTTATTGGGATATTTAACGCCATCTTTGTTTCCAGCTAAATCTCACTAGTCAATAATCGGCTTAAGTTTATATACATGAATGACAAGGACAATCTTTCAGGTCGGTAAAAGTGACATTTATTCTGATGATATCGATGACACCGACAAATTTCACTTACCTGTAAGAATACTGGTCTTAGCTCCATCTTGTTTCAACTTTCTCAATAAGAGTTCGACAATACTGGAAGGGTTGGAGTTTGGATCGGTTGAACAATCGTCATACAATACAACATTGCGAGACTTCCACAGCTTATTGAATTTATCCTTTGCCTCGTTATTTTGAATGACACAAGAAAGCTTTAGATTTCCCTTTTTTAATCGCCGTAGCATAAGACTCGGTAGCGTAATGTTGATGGCACCTTTGATGTGAGATCTTGTGAAGTCGGCCTGTGATCGGCAGTCAAGAAGAAGCGGAGACTCGCTCGACCCGAAGAGATCCACCAGGCCGTCTGGACTCACGAAATCTCCCGACATTTTAAGCATACACTCTACGCAAGGCATCTGCGATGAGAAAGTTTAACTGAACAAAACACTAAACTATAATACCAACTCCGTTAAAAGGCTGGTAATCCGGTAGTCGACGGCACGAGAAAACGACGTCTCGGCAGTGAGAAAAATACACGAGGTGTAAAACTGAACACAAGGAATATAAATGAGATCCTTTGATTAAGAAAACAGTGTTGTGTTGTTGTTTATATCCTTGATCAGGAACTGTTACTTTCCATTCTTGTTTAAGTTTGTGATGGTAGTCAGCTCGAGACCATTATAGTCTGCCTTCCTCTCCACTCCGATTTATAAGTCTCTCTGTTTTATGGAGCATGAGAACTGACGGCATAAACAAACACTTCCTCGTCCAATCGCTGACTGCATGACGTAGCTATGCTCCGCCTCCAAATGGATTAATTTTTCCATATTTAGAGGACTAGGTCATTCATTCTAAAGCTAGTGGTAATCATAGACAGCGCGCTCTACTTTCTCTAAAAATAGTTGGTTACGACAATATTAATACGCGGCATGGTGTAATGTATAAAGATAACAGATGATGAGAGAATCATAAAACGTAGAATATTAAACACAACACAGTAATACTCTAAAATAAACTACTGCACTGTCAGCTGTTGTGAAATCATATATACGTTTTAATTTGTGTCGAAGCGAATGGACTATATTTCTGTTTAAGATCCATTGATATACTTCGGGTCAATAGGTCAAAGACCCGTGTAGAGAATTATGTGTGGTTAGTGTGCGTTGTGTATATGTGTGTAGTGCGCTGTATGAGCTTTTTACCCTGAGAGTGTATTGCTACGTTCACAGACCAGAAATTTCCTAGACAGCTATTACATGGATATTGTATATTGTAGCACCTGACGCAGTATGTAAGGGAGTCGTACACAGTCGTTATGAAATAGCTGTACATGTGTGTTTTGTGACAACGTCAGGAGTCCACACTGTCACTATAAACTCAGAGATTCTTAAAACTTAAACAATTCACCGCTACTGGCCATTATTATTCAAATCAAATACTTTAAACGAGAAGGCCATTTATCTTTGTTCACATCTATAACACTGTCAAGATGGTATGTTGTAGGTGTTATGACGTTTTATATTGTACCTTAATTATCAAACCGTACAAGTGGAATATTAATCATTTGTCCAATACATAATTAAAAAATGTCATTCCTCATCCCCTTACGCTCCCTGGTGAATTTCTCGGCTTGTGTCTCATAGTAAAAGTTTAATCAGAAAGTTCGTTCTAGTTCGTTTTGTCGGTAGGTGGTAGGCGATAATGAAACTGTTATATAGGAATGGTCCCTAGCTACCGCCCGAAAACAATAAAAATAATATGAAACCCAATGTCGGAACCCAAGAGACTCTACTGACAAACGACAGAGAAGAATCTCGTGGGTTTCCGACCATGTATGATTCCAGAAGTCGACAGATACTAGAACGTCTGCTTCTTTAGTATATAGAGGTTCTATCTGAATTCAAAAAAAAAAAAAAAAACAATACACATCCATTTTGTCAACTGTAAATAAACCTATATTAATATTTTACATAAACACATGTTTTTAACATGTCGCAGATTGTTATTTGAACGAACATTTTATTGTGTTTTTTTTTTAATTTGTTATTTCAACAAATTATATATAATGATGACAAAGCGAGCGTGACTGGACGTTATCGAGTTAAAGAAGTTCGGAGATCACAATTACTGCATTCATGTAATCTACATAAATGATTTCCAGACAGTTAAATTATGGGATGGATCTTATATCAACAGGATTCGTCAGTGTTATAAACATGATAGACAGTTTTATAATTACCTAAATATCACCTTATTACAGGACCGGATTTGTTGAGAGTGAGATAAGAATTTCTGCCCCGAGTTATTTCCGGTGTCGCCGATGGGGGTACCTGTTCTACTGACATACATATAATTTGGAGTAATTAGTATCGGTCCGAGATCGGATCTATCTCGCGTGCCGTTCAAGATGGCTTTTTTTTTTTATTGATCTTGAGCGTGTCCTGATGCTGCTGGTAAATAGGTGAATGGAGGGGGCGGGGGAGGGTATCCTGGTTTGGGGATGTCGACACGGGTGTTGACCGGGGGGGGGGGGGGGTTGGTGGAGGGGGGGGGGGTTGGTGCTGATAGGGTCGGGCGGTCCCCGGTGAATAGGTTCAGAACACATCCAATACACGATATCAAGCAGATGATCCTAAAGATTTTTAGATAACTACCACCAAGAACTTGTTAACCCACTAAGAAAGGTTTCTATAGGTTATGCTATAGGCTTCTCGAATATGCTATAAAAAAACCCTTTCAGTTAGTTCATTTTCAATAGTTATTCCGAGCTTGTAGCTTTAAGAAGATAACATCAGAGGGGTTCATCCTGGTAGATTCGTGTCTTTAAAAGGAATCTCCTACTTATACAACACAGAAGAATGTGTGTACAGATGTATTTGAAGTTTGGAATGAACAAAAGTTTGTATTGTATACTTTAGAAAACTGTCCCAATCAGGCGACATAAACACTATCTATTTCACCCCCTACAGGTAGTGTACCTGGCGGACTGACCGTCGTTAGTCAGCGATTTCTATAGAAACATACGAAATAGTCTTAATACACGATAATCAAACAATTCACATATAGCTATACTTTTAAACATTGTTCTGAATATACAAATAAAATTACGGGCTTTTATCTTAAAAGATACAAAAATATAGTTCAAAAACCCCCACGGACTTTAAACTAGGTACCTTGTCTCGTGAGTGACACTATAATAGATATAATTCTACGTCGTACGGTTAGCGTACACCAACCAAATATATTAAAATATGTAAAAAGGAGAAAAGAATTAAATATATTTATAAACCTGTGTACGAAGTTTTGATAACAAGTCTGGTACCTTCATGCGTGGCGTTTCGCCTGACGAGGGTTACATGGTGTAGTTTGGAAACTGGTTATAAGTTTTTAGCTTATGTCTGATCCCATTTGTTTGTTTGCAAATGAAATATGGTTAAATTGAAACGTCACGTATAATTTTCTAACTAGTAGTTGTGATAAATGGGTTTAACCAAAGTTCAGAGAAAACAGGATTACGTTCATCAGTATACAAATTTCACATTGAGCTTTTATTCATAACAGACATGGAAGCCCGATTTGAAATATCACATGTCGAAAAAGGTTGTTAAATACGAGAACTTTTGATTCAAATTTCTAGGTAAGTGCCGCTTGATTAACCATGAAGACTTCCTCGGTAGTACAGAAAATCTATTACAGTATGACAGTAACCCTAATGTGCGCAACAAAATAATGCCCCGGATTTCATCAGATTTTGCAATATGTATGAAAATGAAAATTTGAAATTGTTGGGAAGTATATCAATTGTACCACAATGCGAATATGATGTATGTCTACTTTCGTTATGAAATTATCGACCGGCTACACATGACGAATTCTGTGTAATACCCACTGGCTATATTTAGACCTCGTCCAATTAAAACTGGTTTTTATAACTTGAATTAACACTTTAGATACCTGGCTCCTCAAATAAGTGTCAGTCACGGTGACCTTACAATTGACCTAGTTTTGACGTTCTGTCAAAACTAACACGGTTCAATTATGTTTGATTAGAGAATGACGATGTATTTTTTTTCTTATGACAAACCAAATCCGTGAACACAAACCGTTTCGCCCAATGAACACCATACACCTGAATGGAATACGGGATGGTAGGACCATAAAACTGAAGGCAATCCCATTTGGTTATTGTATAGTCTAGTGAATACGGAGTAGTTAGATAGGTAAGGCAACTTCAGCGATGCATTCAACATATTTAACACAACTATGACAGTACATTTATCGCTTAGTTGTTGTTAGATAAATTATTTTCCATAGGAATTTTTTTCTTAATTTTCGTCTAAATTAAGATGAGTGAAGTAATGCGTCAAGTCACTCATTAAGAAAACCAGCGGAGTATGATACCGACTGTTATAAAATCCTGACAAAATACGTGAAAACATGTTATTTCCGTTTTAAAATATGTCTTATTATGATATTAATGATATGCTGTATAACAATCCACCATCCATCATTTCACAATCAGATCGTTGTCTGAGGCGCCATCGATCCACCACAGACATGACTTGACATGATAATACAAGATCGACAATTGTATTTTTACGCAAAGAAAAATATCACTTTTAATTATGAAATATATTGATAACAATGTCACGTTCAGCTATACATTCATTTGTCAATGGAGCGTGTCAATTTTGTTCAAGAGTTCAGGAGTGTACTGCCTCTCAACTGCCAACAGCTAAGTTCATTGCAGTAAAATAACGACGGAAATATTCGACCGGGAGAGCTGAAAACTTCAAATAATACCTAGTCGATAAGAATAACTTTAAAATTGATCATTTTTTTTTTTATTATTATTATATTCTAAATGATTTCATTACTTCCGTCTTATTTAACGATGGCGATTACATACTGACAGGTGTTCAAAATCAAATTTAAAACTTCGTCAAAACAACTTCATAATATTTTTCCGGTCCACCACGGCAACATGGAGCGAATGACAACTGGTAAAACGTCAAAATATATTCCAATTTCCGTCAATCTCAAACATTTTTTAAGTCTTAGATTGTGCGTGAATAAGGATCATGACACACGTCTTACAAACTTGTTCATAATAAAATTTATTTTTTCGTCCACTCTCGGCCTTTCAGCGGACGATTAATTATGAAAGAATGGTCAGATATGACTAGTAACGTGAGAGCCATTCCTGACCGACCCGTCAGCCATATCATCGTCATTATAATCGTTTCCTAACACCTGCTGACAAGTACAAGTGTGTGTAAATAAGCCTGTGGTCAATTTATGAATGTCCGGCACACCTCGTGGTCATTCCAGTACTGCGATCTTGTTTACAAACAAATACAGTCATGTCAAACAGCGGATTTGTAAAGTGTTACCTCCACATCTAACAAAATGATCATGCGGAAGATACAATAACTTGTTAGATTAAATTTCTAATTGACCGGACGGAATGTTGTACGTGTTAACTCCTTCTCAACATCCTGTTACGCCAGACTTTGTATGTAAAAACGTAATCTGCTTTGTTTTGTGAAGAATAAAGCGGAAAGCACGTGCTTGTGACATTTTGTGGGGTTAGGTGTGATACTGGTGACGTATGTTAATGGGGAGCGGGTAACGTTTTACAATACCACCAAACACGTACACATATGCACTGACCCCTCCGATACACAATGACCGCTCCAATACACCATTGTC